TGGTCAAATTATGTCTCTACCATAAATTCATCAACACCTATGACTACAATCTGGAATAAAGTTTGTACATTAAAAGGTGAACAAAACTCAATTCATATTAACACTCTTTATTATAAAAACAAATTAATATCTTTCAAACAAGAAATTAGTAATATTATGTCAGATGTGTATAAGAATAATTCAAGCAATGCAAACTTCAATCCCGCATTTTTAGATTTCAAAAATAAACGTGAAATGACAGATATATCTATAATAGATAGTGATAATCCACTAAATTTCCCCATCACATATCAAGAATTTGAAGAAGCTCTAGATAAATCAAAAAACACTTCATCGTGGTCCTGATAATATACCAATCATATTTATCAAAAACTTGCCGTACATAGGAAAATTAATTCTCTTAGACATTTTCAATCACATTTACCTTAATAAAAAATTTCCTTCAATCTGGTCTGAATCAACAATTATTCCCATATTAAAACCTTTCAAATCAAAAACTGACCCCCTTTCCTATAGACCAATTTCTCTTACAAACAATACATGCAAACTACTAGAAAAAATTTTAAATAACAGATTAATGTGGTTTCTTGAAAAAAACCAATTATTAAGCCATATCCAAAGCGGTTTCAGAAAAGGCAGATCAACTCATGATGCCTTAGTAGCTATTGACAATATTATATGTGAGTCCTTTAGAAATAACCAGAAAGTAATTGCCATATTTTTTGATATAAATAAAGCATTTGATACTGCATGGAGATACAACATTTTACAAACCATGTCCAATTGGGGTATCCAGGAAATTTGCTTGCCTTTGTAAAACATTTAATGAATAATAGGACATTTCAAGTACGTGTAAATGGAATTACCTCAAAAACAGAATGTCTTGAAAACGGTATTCCACAGGGCTCAACCTTAAGCCCCACTTTATTCTTAATAGCAATTAATAATATCGCTCAAGAGATAAAGCTACCTTTGAAAGCAGGTCTGTATGCAGATGACTTAGTTGTATATACTAGTAGCTGCAATATTACACTAGCCTCAAACATTTTGCAATCATTTCTGCATAAACTAGAAGACTGGTCCCAAAAGACTGGTTTTACGTTCTCAGGTGATAAATCTCGTTTCATCGTATTCAATAAAAGAAAAACTGATTGCAAAACAACACTTACTGTAAATAGTATCAACCTAGAACAAGTAGAGAGCATTGACTTTCTTGGCCTAAGACTGGACAGTCAGTTAACATGGGCAGAACATATTAAAAAGCTAGTCGTATCCTGCCAATCTAAAATAAATCTTCTTAAAACGCTATCAAACCGATCTTGGGGAGCGGACACCATAAAATTGCTGCATATATACCAATCATTAATCCGAAGCAAACTGGATTATGGTGCAATATGCTATTCAACTGCGAGTAATTATATACTTAAAAAACTAGACATTATACAAAGCACATGTTTAAGACTAATTCTGGGTGCTTACCGAACTAGTCCTGTTTCAAGTTTTCAGGTTATCCTAAATGAATCTCCCCTATCAATACGAAGACAACACATTTCTTTAAATTATGCCGCGAGATTGTCTTCCAACCCTAATAACACAAACTATCCACTTCTTTATAAAATATATCCACCTACTCATTGCCATCAACAAATTAAATATCCACCCCTTCAAGAACGTCTAACGAGATACGGTTTTGACATGGAGCAGCTCACACATTCTTACTCTAACACAACGACTATACCTCCCTGGACTATTAATTTTTCCCACTATTGATCTATCCCTCACGGCCTATCCAAAGAGTACCACAAATCCCATAACCATTAACAAATTATATCAAAAACGGATATTAGAATACACTGGCCATAACAAGATTTTTACCGATGCGTCAAGAACTGAAAACGGACACGCAGCGGCCTTTATTCTAGGAAATTCTGAATATGCAGTTCGCATTCCTCAATTCTGCAGCATTTTCACGGAGAAGCAATCGCCATTTTAAAGGCTTTAGACATGTGTAAGAGTCATGCAAGCTCAGATTTTCTTATCATTACTGACTCTTTATCTGTTCTTCAGAGCTTAAGGCAAATATATCCAGTACATGCTGCATCCTGCAACAAATACAATTAGCACTTTATCACCTACAAAACAGACACGTGAACGTTACATTTCTCTGGGTACCATCACATACAGGTATCGCAGGAAATGAAAAAGTAGATGAATTAGCAAAGAAAGCTGCTACTGACGAGCAAACTGAAATTATGACTACAATTCCATTCAGTGATATCCAGCTCAATATTAAACAGCACTGTGTAAAAAATTGGCAACAAATGTGGAATTCTACTAAGGCTAACCTTAAAAACGTGAAAACTAGGATTGGCACTAAACTACAATTTCCAGAAAACAGAAGGCAACAAGTGATTATAAACTGACTAAGAATTGGACACACAGCGTTAACTCACCAGCATCTCATAACAAAAGAACTACCACCTGAATGTTCCTATTGTGAATGTCCAATAACTGTTCAACATGTATTGATTGAATGTCCTCTTTATTCCTACGAAAGAGCCATCAACAACGTACCAGAAGAAGCAAAGAAACTTAAAGATATTTTAAACAGTAATGTATCTAATACAATCAAATTCCTTAAGGACATACGTTTACTACACAAAATTTAAGTTATCTTATATGTATCTCTTTGTAATTTGTAATTTATTATGTGTAATTCGCAATTTGTAATTAGTAAATTTGTATTTGTAATAACAACTGTAAAATCTGTAAAACCCGCTAATAACCTTGAATGGTTGATGCGGAAATTCTAAATTAAAAAAAAAAAAAAAAAAAAAAAATCGCTATCAGTTCTTATACGCTTCTATACAAATGAATAAAATAACATTTCAATATAATTTCAAATATTTTATATTTATACTCGATGGTAGGTTTTCTCTCATTCGCAAACATAAACGGAATATGATGACATTGAAGAATGAACTATAAAATTATAGTAGATATCCTCTACAATATCATTGTAGAGGAGAAATGATAGCACGTACCACAGGTAGTATGGGACTCATCGGTCTGTCATACCCACTCAAACTGCCCTTTTTGGCCACTTATAGGCATCCGGAACCACCATTTCTGTCGTAACTTCAGGTACCTTGGGCTGCCTCTGTTTCTCTCTCAGTTAGCAATGTCTTCGTCTTTCCTCATTTTCTTTATTGAACATGGTGCGCCTTATGGCTCCCTGCATCACCTTCTACTGGCATTCATTATGTATCATTTGCTTGATTATATTGTCCTGAGTTAGTTCCTCTTCCAAGAGCAGGTTGACTTCCTGCCGCTCTCTGTGTCATCTCTCGCAGACGAAGAATGTATGATCTGTATTATCACGTCCATTGCAATACATACAGGAATACCTACATGCGTGGTGTCCTTTCTGAAACGCTAAGCGTACGCCGGGCGTGTTCCATGTCCAGTGACGAGTTGTGTTAGTCAGTCTGTAGTTTTATACTTGCATTTAATCCAAGGAGTTTTTGTCCATTGTGTATTTTCTGGTTTACATCGTTCCTCGCATTTCACGGGAATTGTCCTGCTTGTCTTCTTTGTGAGTTCTAGATTGTCGTGCTCTGTCCTGCCCTGCCATGTTGAATATTAATGCTCTCTCTTTAGCCGATAATTCTGTGAAAACTCTTCCAGTAATAACTTGCAGCACAGCCATTGAGACCGTACAGTAAACCAAGGCCATCCTCAATAGACCTTTACGTTGTGACTCTCAAGCATCTGACTATATTTTCCTTCTTAACTGCTGATTCCTACACTGAAGCTCCGTAACGTATAAAGTGTAAGGTATAGTCAATTACACCGCAAAGTACTGCCCTTTTTTATTAGTTGGACCATACTTGTGTTTGGCATTAATCTGGCCAGCTTTGCTATCTTCTCGTCTGCCACTTTTACAATTTCTAAGTGCCTTCCCACGATATGTCAGCCCATTTTTCACAGGAATCTTGAAGCCCCCTATATGAAAATGGGTACCATGAAAATCTTTATTTCTAGTACCCTTCATGATTTATCTTAAGCTCGTGGTACTTCACCCACTCGCTGATTCTATTCAGTCCGGTATTTACCTTCCTTTTAAGGGCTCCATTATCGTTAGTCTCGATTGATAGGTTGAAGTTATTACCTGGTGTTATGTATATATATATATATATATATATATATATATATATAATATATATATATATATATATATATATATATATAATATATATATATATAATATATATGAATATATGAATTTTGAATCGAATGTTTTCCGGGAAAGTTTAGTACTATTTAGGTTTACCATTAGAACTTCGTTTGAAATCAAATCTGTACTTTCTACAATTTTCAATGCAGAGGATTGATAAACTGACATGAGGAATCTAAAAATTTACTGTTACTGTTTACTTTGTAAATTTTAAAAAGCACCGATTTGGCATTTTCCTGAATTGATTTAGAACGTAGTTCTATTGGTTTTTAATATATGTCGCTGTAGCATCTGGTGCACAATATTTTTAAAATAATTAATTGCTCATATGGCAGAAAGATTTTGTTTCCTTAAAATCTTACAAGTTCGCTCTGACGAGTCCAAAAGGGCGAAATACGTATAACCGGATGGTGGTCTCTATGGTATTAAATCTAAACTCTCTGTCGCATTTAGGTTTAGTTTGGTGCTTTTCGATAAATTTTAGGTTCAATTATTATTTTATTTTTCAGTACTAGTCAGATTCAGAACATTAATTTTATTTTTTAATACTAAGAAATTTGCCCTAATGACAAATATGATATATAAAATCCTGATATTGCAAATTTTGTTATACATACTGAAATGTTCCATATTATTCAAGCGAAAATTCAGATTTTCAGCCACAGACGAAATTCAACAACGGAATAGTTTAAATATTTGTATTATTATATTTGTTAAAAATATTCTAATCATAATTATAAATTGACATTCTATTTTGTTTTAGATATAACGGATTTTTACCTCAAGGTGACAGGGGGCGAAGGCGAAGTAAATTCGTTTTCTGTAAAAGACAAGTTGCCAACGGCGTTAAACGGTTACGACACTACGTAGTTAGGACACCACATTCAACACAAGCCATTTTAGATGCCACCCAACATTCAATTTCCTACACATTATCGAGAAATCATGCCGTTATAGTAGAATATACCAATGATGAAGATACCGATATGTTTCAGGTGTGTACTTTTGAATAATTTTAATATATGTATAGAATAGTTTTAGACATAATGATAATGATAATGTCTATAACGTGTCTTTGTTGATTTTCCTTAGTACTTCCCCGTTAGTTTTTCTTGCTTTCCAAGTTATCTTCAGCATCCTTCTATGAATCCAATGATTCAATTCTGTTCATGCTTGATATTTGTAGGTTTAGTTCTAAACTGAGATGATTATTGCAACGAAATGTCTTCATTTTCATAAAAGTAATTTTAGTCATTGCTATTCTTTATTTTATTTCTATGTCTGGATCTAGTTGGTCCGTTATGACAGTATGGTCAACTTTTTCAACTTCGACTCCATTTAATTGAAGCTCTGCATCTGGATATAGCTTACGACTAAAAAGTTGGTTTTGTTTGATCGATCTCCACGTCGGAAATCGAAACGTAAAAATAAACTTATTTTAAATTAAATTGTGGTTAATTCTCCGTAAAAATAGTAAATTATATTAAGATGCCACAAGGAAATAGCTTCAGAACAATATCTAAAGGTTGCTCTAATACAAAAAAAAAACGTTTCAAATAATATAATTACTAATGACGATTACATGTATTTGACATTTTAATCATGTATGACCAGTGTGGTCCAATTTTTTAGACATTGAGGGCCGTATTAGATTTGAAATTATTATGAAGGGCCAGAGAACTCGACTAGTTCAAAAAAAGTTTATTTTAAAAAATAATAAACGAAATATTATTTACAAATATTTTATTATGGTTTACAATTTACATGTTATTAATTACTATTAAACTGGGAATAAGCCACAATTAAAGATAAAAATACGTTTATTGACGTTTCAATTTCCAAGAAAATAGCTTTAGAACAATATTACATGTTATGTTTAAAATTTAACATAAAATAGAAAGTCAATGGAATATTTGAGGCAAGAGTTTATCCTCTACTAACTTTTGCACATCTATATCTATGCTAGTCGAGTGAGTCTAGTGCACGTTTCTAGAGAATCGTTTTCCATGCGATTACGTGTTTTAGATTTAATATGCTTCAAAGCAGAAAATGTACTTTCACATATTATATACATACGTAGTACCAAACATTGAATATAGTTTCAACACAAAGTTATGAAGTTTAGGAAAACGATCATTGGAGAGTAACTTCCAAAAGGTTCTAATATCTTCATTTTTCTTTGCTTTAAAAAACGAATCGGACTGTAGTTCGCACAGCTCTAATTGTTATTCTGCTGAGTGGTTCTGTATGTTGACTCAAATTAGATTGTTAAAAAGCTCAAGATGGGGTTTTAGTGCATCAAATTCCGAAAACCTTTCATCGAATTCTCTTTTTATTTCTGTAAGAACTTTTGTAAACCTTGAAAAATCGACCATGGTTTCTTCTTGATTTATTTTGAAAAGATCAAGTTTTTGCGAAATGTCTTAATTTAACCAACCAACTGTGATACTGTCTTATTTTTCCCCTGGAGTTATAGGTTTAATGTGTTCAAGTGAGAGGTAATATATGTTAGAAATGCCAGTTCATGAAGAAATGTTTTGTTCTTAAGCTTTGTTATAAATACGTCCGTGTTAATAACAATTTCCGTTTCAAAAAACAGTAAGATCTCTTTTCGTAAAGAAAAAAAATTTCTAATGCATTTACCTGCACTCAACCAGCGTATCTCTGAATGTATGGAGACGTCCTTATATTCAGTATTTAATTCCTCCTTTGCTTCACCTTGATATTTGTCGTATTTTGTTTTGTGCTGGGTTTCATAATGCCTACTAATATTGTATTCTTTTGATACCGCTAGTTCTTGACAACAAATAATGCACTGAGGTTTGCCTTTTAATTCGATGAAGAAATATTGAGTTTCCCATTTTCCTTGAAACGTACGATTCTCTTCGAAAATTTTGCATTTTTTGGCACTACTCATTCTGAATTTAACATTCAATTTATTCGCCACTGTTAATTCAACATGACACATGCAGCTGACTGAAGCTAACTGCCCGCTCATCGGGAGTGGGTGTTCAAGGTACTTTCTTAGATACTTTCTTAAGATTACGGAAAGTTAGACAGGGTTGAAACAGGTAAAAGTTATCAATGGCAATATTTTTGAAATGTGTTTGCGGGGTCCGCAGTTTAACAAGCCTCGGGCCGCATGCGGCCCGCGTGCCTTAGGTTGGACCACACTGATTTATGACAGTAAATAAGAAATGCCAGAAAAAGTGGCTATTAGTATTTTTAATTTTTACCACAGAGATTTTTTTATAATTTTATTTTACACCCATTTAACTTTGGAACCAATAAAGTCCCAAAGGATTATCCGGGTTTTAAGAGTAGCATTTATGATATTCTTCTTCTTTGAGTATCGTGCCCAAGTTTTAGGCGTGGATAGCTTCCATGACGATTTGCCGATATCGTTCTCGATCTTGATCGATTTTTATATCGATTTGATATAAAATATAACAAAATTTAAAAATCTACGGGGTGAACCATTTAAAAAATATATCTTTAATTTATTTTAGCGTCATGCTGTATCTTTTTAAGTTACTTACACAGATAATTTGATTTATTTAAAAAAAAATTGTACACCTATCAAGATTCGAAATATTAAGAAGTTACCTTACTCTTTGTACATACTATATTTTTTTGTTGAGTAATTATATTTATAATTTTTTATTTTATAGCTTTCTTCTATAATAGTTTTTTAAAATATTACAATCCTAAAAAGTTGACCCGAAAATTCCATCATATCGTTTATAGGTAACCGAAAACTAGTTTTCTAAAATAAATTTTACTGCAATCCAATCAAAGTAATGGCTGTTTGTTTCTAAAACAGTCAAACTATTCATCGTTGTTTACGACTATATGTAACTTGCAAAAATTAACTATAGCAATTTGAATATTTTTCAATTAAAATGTCAATCCGAGCGTTAGCAATAAAAAATCAGAATGCATTTCGGTTTTAGATCCTAAAACCAAAATGCATTCAGTGACGCGGTTGGTTGTGTCTGCGGAAACGGAATTTATTTGTTTTGCCTTTGTACATTTGCCATCAGTTTCTGATTCAATATTTAACGTTTTATTCATTTAGTTTCGGTTAGATTTTATCAAAATTTACATTGGAAAGTTCATGTAGTTAACGTTACAGTTAATGTTAAATTGGTAAAAGACTGTCAAGCAAACTAATAAAGTTCTTTGTTCTTGGCATATTTGTTCGCTGTAGATCAACAAGAGCGGTGATAATATACAAACCTGTCGCACTCCTCTACGTATTTCTATTTCGTCCGATGTTTGGTCTTCTATTTATATAGCTCGCTGATTCCAGTATAGATTTAATATTATTTGTATGTCTCTGGTGTCGATGTTCTTACCCTCCAGGATTTCTTTGAGTTTATAGTGGCGTACTTTGTCAAAGGCCTTTTCAAAGTCTATAAAGCAGGCGTGTACATTCTGATTATCATATTCAGCAATAGATTACTCGAAATGTATGTTCGAAATATTTGGTTCTATGGTGTGAGTCCATTTATCGTTGTCAAAATATTCTTTTGTACTTGAAGGTTTAAAGATTATAAAACTTTTTATAGAATTGCAATTAATTTAGTAGTTTTTTAGAAAAAATTCCAAAAATCACTAATTAAGGCGTTTTTCAACAAAAAATTGCAAATAGCTCGAAAAGAAAGCATTTTTCGAGAAATTTCCAAGATATAAAGTATTTATTTCGATAAGACGCGCCTAAAAAAAGCCACGTAAAAAAATTTGACTCAAAGTGATTCGGAAGTTGTTTTTTCTTATGTTATTCGTTAATAACAATTTCCGGCCCATTTGGAAAAATAAAAAAAAAATACATTTGAACTTTAAACAAGTTATAAAATCGAATAAAAAACGTCAAACTATTTAAAATGTAATTTTCATTGTATTCAATTGTGATGCTATTAACTCCATATAAACATAATATTTAACTTAGGCTTGTCACAAGCAAAAGTGGTTCTTACAACAAGTAACAAGATTCTACGGGAAAAATCTTAACTAACTGCTCTTTGATCAGTTTTTTAGACTACCTTTTAACAATTGGAACAGACGGAACTCATAGAAGCCACAAAAGCTCTGTATAAAGAAAAATTGTCCATTAAAGTGGGAATAAGAATCATAGGAGACTTCACCACAACAAAAGGGCTTCTGCAGGGTTGTTCCACAACTCCAACCCTATTCAAAATATACTTAGAGAAAGCCTTGACTACATGGAAAAGAAAATGCGAAGGCATGGGAGTACCGGTACGGAACGAATACGTTAAGCTTTGCAGACGATCAAGTAGTGATTACACAAGACCAAGACGACCTCAGCGACATGATGGAGAAACTACAAGAAGAATATACCAAGGCTGGCCTAGTTATTAACCTCGCGAAAACAGAGTACCTATCTACAAGTAAAGAAGACATAGAAGATCTACAGATTGATGACAACGTAACAATCAAAGGAAAGGATAAATTTAAATACTTGGGTTTATAATCACAAAAAAGGAAACAACAGAGGAAGAAATTACGTAAAGATTAGGACAAACAAGAACAGTAATCCGACAAATTAATCCTTAATATGAAGGCAAAAACACAGTTTTATAAAACATTAGTGCGAAGTATTATGACATATGGAGCTAAAAATTGGATTATAAACATGAAAAACAGCAGTAAGATAGTAGCAACACAGATGGAATGCCTGTGAAGATGCTGCAGAGTAACAAGAATGGATAGGAGAAATAATTACAAAATAAAGCAAAGAACATCAGTAGAAACAGACATATTAACATATATAGAACAAAAAAGACTAAAGTGGTATGGACATGTAAGAAGAACTAGCGACAGCAGATGGATAAAGAGAATAACCGAATGGAGCCCCATAGGAAGGAGGAAAAGAGAACGACTCCGAATATCCTGGAGGAGGAACGAAGTAGACGACACCATGAGTAAGAGAGGCCTAAACGATGGAGAATGGAACAACAGGGAGAGATGGAAACGGTTGAGTCAATATTTCTCCCAAATCGTATATACCATACGTAATTACATATCGTCTTTTTATGTCTAATTTTTAATTACTAAAAACGAAACAGATGCAAAACGTGAAAGACGAACACGAAGAATCATTTAATCCTTGTTTGAATTAATGATTTTTTTACTGTAAAGCCCTCACTTTTCTTACATTTTACATGTATATACTGATGTATAAATTATTTTTAGATTGGTAGATCATCAGAAGCCCCCATAGATTTCGTCGTAATGGATACCATAGCCGGCGATAAGACCGGAGATACGAGAGTTAACCAAAGTACGATATCGAGGTTTGCCTGTAGGATATTATGTGATAGAAATAATCCAAAAATAGCTAGGATATACGCCGCCGGCTTCGATACTTCTAGAAATATATTTTTAGGGGTAAGTAGTTAGATAAACATACGAGGTAGGCGTCATGAATTCTAGTCATATCAGAAACATCAACTAGGTGAAACATAACAATTTGTATTGTTTCACTATAATCCTCCTTTATTTCAAAAATCATGTAAAATTATATATCCTTATATTATGTATAATTTGAGCGTTCAGACTCGAGTGCCATAATTACAGTTATATACTGATGCTCGTAAGTCATTACTTTACTTAAACAGTACTTTTAAAGTATTTTTTAAATAAAAAAAATAGTAATCCTTTGCAACCACGTCTAAATTGCTTTATTTATGTTACAATTTCTTAAAGCCGTTTTTACGGATGATAGATTGTAAAATAATGCCAATAGAAATTATTGTAGATTATTGTGCTATTATTTTTTTGTCAATTTACTTAGACTTGTTGAATTATAGTTGTATTAGTATTTTGCTTTTTAAAATCAATAAGTGAAATCGTAATAAAAAGAAGAAAATAAGGTAAAAGTGTCAGATTAGAGGCGGATCATTTGGATTAGTCATCTTATACAAGGTGGTGAATCGTCAAACGGGCCATAGGAAATTCAATGGATAATTCTAAATTGTTGAATTCCTGCTTCCCTAATTAGTTTACACCAAAAATCAAGAAAAACTATCTGTAGAGGACTGAAATATGTATCGAAACCAAATGTTATAATTGTTCTACGAATTAAATATATTACAAAGTTTTGCAAGAATATAATACAATTTTCAGGTCAGCCCTTAAAGTCAGGCCACACGCGGAGTAAGAATCTGTATGACATGTTGTGTTTGGTCATATTTATGTTTCTGATATTTGACAATATTTGAATTGCCAAAATTTTTATTTTGTTTAAAAAACAATATAGTTTACTAAAAAATGTATTCAGTTGAAGAAAAAGTAGCAATAATAAAAATATTTTATTCATGCAATAGTGCGCGAATTGTCAGTTATTTATTTATATTAAGATATCCCAATCGACCAATTCCAAGTCATTCAACAATTCAATGGATTTTACAAAATTTTGAAAATACTGGGATCGTGATTTCTAATTGTACCTGTACAAACAATACTATGAGGTACCAAGAAATTTAGAAAATCAAAATGAAATAAATGTATTAACAGCAGTTGTAGAAAACTCTAGAATAAGTTCTCGGGCCATTGATGACCAGTTTAATATTCAGAATTCCACGACCTTAAAAATTTTGAAAAGGAATAAATTCCGTTTATGTATTTTTCAATGTTATCAAGAACTAAGAGAAGGACATGCTGAGCGACGAGCCGAATTTTGTTATGAAATTTTAGAGAGGGCTAACAGACAATTTTTAAAAAACATTTTGTTTAGTGATGAATGTACATTAACATTAACTAATGAACCAAATGTTCAAAATTCTTAGGAAAAGAATCTGAGGTTCAAAAAGCCTTAGGATATTATTGAGAGCCATACCCAATATCGTCGAAAAATAAATGGCTGCTTAGGAATATTTAGACACAAGATTATTGGACCATTTTTCTATAAGGAAAATTTAAATTCAAAAAAGCTTTTAGACTTGCTACAAGAAAAGATTTTACCCAGACTTGCAGAAATAGCTCCAGATAAAGAAGGTTAAGGAATTCCTTAAAAACAGCTTTAATAATTGTTTGATTGGACCTGACTGTAATATTAAGTGGCCCCCGAGATCGGAAGATATAGCTCCAAACGATTATTTTATCTGGGAGCTTCTCAAATCAAAAATCTATTCTGACCAAAAATTTACAGATATTGAAGCATTAAAAATGCGAATTATTGAAGAGTATGCAAAAATAAAGCCACGCATTCTGGCTAATGTTAGACGAGAGAGAATTTTACAATCGAGTGGAATACTGCTTAGTACAAAACGGCTTCTTGTTTGAACATTTGTTATAGTTTTATGTTTAGAAATTATCATAAATTATTTTTAGGAAGGATCACAGTAAACCTATATAAAAAAAATTTTGAATTGTTGTATAACCTGGAATTGAATTGGAGTGTATTATGATATCTTGTGTTAAATAAAGATCTGACAGTGCTCGCACTATTGCCTGAATACAACATTATTGCGATTTTACGCTAACTGAGTACATTTCATTAATTTTATTGCTTTGTAAACAATATAATTTATTGTTTACAAAGTACTACTTATTGTTCACTAGTAATAGTAGTATTTGTGAAAATTTGCGTATTATAGTATTTGTGTATAATTTAATCATACAATAAAAATATTGAGAATTCAAATATTGTCAAATATCAGAATCATCAATATGACCAAACGCAACATGTCATAGACATTCTTGTACCTCGTGTAGCCTGACTTTAAGGGGTAGCCTGAAAAATGTATTATATTTTCACAAAATTTTGGAATACATTTCATTCGTAGAACAATTTTAACATTTGTTTTTAATACAGATTTCAGTTCTCTACAAATAGTTTCTTATGACTTTTGATGTAAAATAATTAGGGAAGCAGGAATTCAACAATCTAGAATTTCCCATTAAGTTTCCTATGGCCCGTTTGGCGATTCACCACCCGGTATATAAATTAAATTTATAAAAGAAAACGACATCAAATTGAATTAAATACTCCAGAAATAATACTCGAATACACAGGAGATACATAGAAAGTGTTGCTAGGTTGAAAATTGAAATTTGACTACATTATGCTTAAGAAATTCACTGGAAAATATCTAGATTAGACATGAGCAAACTATTTAAGCGTTGGGCCACATAAAATAAAAACATTCTCCGGGCGGGTCGAAAAAATTAATAAAACATGTTTTTATTAGTGATAAACTTTATATTTTAGCATTGAAGAAGTTACATAAACATGTTATTCTTTAGCAGAGTATGAAGGTGTATGTGACACATAAAACTAAGACTGAGCTTCTAAAAGTTGTTTATAATCTGGCAGAAACTGGGATGAACTGACTCACAAGAGTGACGCTAAGTGCTGGTTAGCCAATCGGTTTTCCAATGCTGTCTTTGCGAAGCTTCATAGTAGAAAACACCTGTTGCAAGGGTAGGAAGATGCAAAAATCGCAATTATCTTCTCAGCATGAGATTTCAGGTTTAAGTAACTTGATTTTGGCAGAACCTTGTAGAACTCAGTTTTAGAAATATTGAGAAATAGTTGCTTCAATTCATTGTTACATTGCAACTCAATAAGTTTGAGCTGCAATTTTAATTTTACTGATTCACAGTTTACATTAAACGGCATGCTGAAAATGTCCAGGTCTTGTTCGATAATTTTGAAGTCTTATAATATTCGCTCAAACTCGTCATGAAGGCATTTCATGTTTTTCTCATAATCCGGCATCTCGTTTTGTTGTTGTCAGGCAACATCATCTTTATAAGCACCATTTCTACTACATATAGCTGTTATGTGAAAATGATAATATGCAACAAGTGGTGTTAGTTATTAAAACTGGTGGCGACATCTAAAATTTAATGGAGATACTTGAAAAAAATAATTTGAGTACATAGGATACCAGTAGAGATTTAAGTGAGTGTGTCATAATTGTTATTGCCAAACGTTTGTTTGGCATTATTGGCAGTATTCTGAGGTTAGCTTTTTACTTCGTATATAAACAAAGGTTGTTTTAGTGTAATTATGTGCTATTTTTGCTCTTTACGGTAAGTAATCATATCAATTTGTTAAATCAAAATCATGTAGCTCTCAGGCAACATTGTCAGTTGAATGATTGAGTTTTTTTTCAGTAGGTTTCACTATGGAAAATTTTAATGAAATATCAACAACCTTCTTGTATGGAAGAAAGATAAAAATGTCGTGTATTGTTCCTGTACAATTATCTCTGCAAATAGGTTGACACGGAGATGTATGATGAAGAAATTGAAAACATTAATATAAATGAAATTGCCGCAAACTCAGATGAAGATTAAATTTCAGACAGAATTGAAGACAGAATTTTCAAGATTGAATTATCAACTCTTAACTAAAGCTGAGGCTAATTAAACGAATGAAGAAGACAAGCCTGAATAACCGCCAAGAAAACGTAAAAACGTAGTGGAGTCAGTATATTATAACTGGTCTGAAAGTGACATAAAAACCATTTCATTCGAAAATCCAACTATAGACAATAATGCAGTAGAGGTAGTCTTGTCTCTTGATTATTTTACGAGATTTTTTTCACTAAAAGTAATAAAGAATATTGTATATCAGATAAATTTATACAGTAAGCAAAAAACTCGACTAAGTGTCAACAGAAACACTTCCGAAATAACAGACTTTTTCTTCATTTTTATTTTGCTGTTATGTCCCTAAAACAATTTCAAAAACTGAGAACATTGATTAATTTCAATGATAATTTAGAAGTAACTTCAGAAACGAAATTCGTTCCCTACTTCAAAATTCGTTCCCTTTTAGATCATATTTCTACAAATTTTTGTTCAAAGTTACCTACAGTGGCAATTTGCGACAATACTTACAAAATAAACCTCATAAATGGGGTTACAATTTTTTTGTAAGGGTAGCTGTTTCAGGATATATTGCCGATTTCATTCCTTACCAAGGAGATACGACGTTTTCTAAGCTACAGGGAACTATTAATCAAATTTCTGAAGAACAATCCTTGGGTGTCGGTGCATCTTCAGTGATTGCATTATGTAAATCATTGGGTGCCCCCCAAAATTCAATGATTTTTTGTGACAATTGGTTTTTCAGTTTGAGATTATTTCATTACGTTAAGGAAAAGTTAGCTTGGGCACTATTCGCTCAAATAGAAGAGCAGGTTGCATATTGGATTGTGATGAGGTGTTGGTAATACGTGGCAGGGGTTCCTATGTTCATAAATCCGATGAAGAAAAAAATATTATAGTTGTCAAATGGGCTTATAACAAATGTGTACATCTGGCTAGTACTGGTTGTGGAATTAAGCCATGTACAAAGATATTCTAAAGTACATAATAGAAAAATAAATGCGCCATTCCCAAATCTAATCGCTTAATACAATAAACACGTGGATGGAGTGGATAAAGCCAGCTCTTTATTAGATCTTTACAGAAGTCCAAGTCATAGTAAAAGATGGTATTTTCCAATAGTTACCTTGCTCTTAGATGTCTGTATAATAAATGCATGGATATTATATCAAAATGACGGTAAAGCCAATCATCTAAATTGTATGCCTCCTAAGAAGTTTAGAATTAGGCCTACATTTATAATTTTTTAGTCTTGGCCACTTTCTATGTAAAAGTATTTTTTATTAAATCTGTGATGTATTAACCTGAACTATTTTGCTAATATACACATGTCTACTAGTTCTAAACGTTGCTACTTTAAATACAAATAAATCAAATCTAATATGTCACATCATTCCTCCCCTTAAAAAACATTTTATACTTTATTATAAACAAAAACTTATTTTAGTTATTACTTAATTGTCGTTGTGCCCTAACTCTAGTTTACTTTATCTTTGATACCTCGCGTTTTTAACATCTGACCACCCTAATTTGCTACTATTTTTACTCAGGCAAATTTATATCATCATATTAAGAAAAAAAATTAGCTTTACTTTGATATAAATAACATGCATATACGTCACCAATAGCAATTTTTTTAAACAATAACTGAACAAAATAATTTTTTTGTTTAACAATTAATTACTATAAATTGAATTAAAAATATTTGCGGCCACTTTTTGACGCAACCGAATATTAATGTAATCTCCTAATTTTAAATATATGAAAAAAATGTGAGTTTGATTAACTACGTTATAAACGTAGTGATCTTGCAATGGGATCTGATACGATATGAACAACACCGAACAAAGAAGTGGTTCAAAAATCCTTGAAGGTGAAGTTAGACATGCGGTAAATCAATTGAAAAACAGTAAAAGTCCAGGTCATGGTAAAGTTCTCACAAATTTTACAACAGGTCGATATTAAACAACTCATGTATCTTTTTAATGTAATATACGACTATGAACAATTCCATTGCATTGCTTAAAATCAACCTTTGTCTCCAACCAAAGAAAACAACTCCCAAAGTTTTTTAAGACTACAGACTAATCAGTTTGATGAGTCACACTCTCAAGCCATTTTTAAGGTTAATACATTCGACGATATGCAAGAAATGCAAGGACAAGAGTGGGGACATACAGTTCGGATTTATCAAAGGGCTTAGCACTACAAAATCACGAACTGTTTAAAAGTTGGTTATACAATAGTGCTATCACCAAAGGCTTGATGTTTTTTGTTCGCGCTTTGTATTAATAATGTGAGGTTTACTTATTTCGGAGCTACATTAAATAAGAAATGACACATTTTTGTCAGTAGTGCTTGCCATTATTCTATTTTCCGAAATTCTCATAAAACCATTTATTTATATCGTAGCTCACCATTTAGGTTTTAAATATTATTTGTTTTAATTTAATATTTTATTTTTTTGTTTTAGGAAAAATCTTTAAAATGGCAAGAAAACGGTAGAGAAATAGATGGATGTACAACAAATGGTGTTTTAATAATGCATCCCGGAGGAAGTTTTTATGGCGGAGAAGCAAAATATGGATGTTGGTTAGAAACATCTGTTGGGGGCGGTATTTTTTCCTTGAGAGAATCTAGGTCTGCACAGCAAAGAGGGCAAGTAGTAAGTATCTTTTTATCTGAATTATTTAAGAAAAGTATTAGTTTTAATTAATAACTAGAGGCTTTATGACAATTATCATAAATCTAGAGATACGGACCATACACGGTATCATGACGGCCACTACACTTCCTCCAAGGATCAAGACTGAAGAGAGATATCATTTATCGTAACCTGTTACATCCAAAACTTCACAGATTTTATTACTTTTCCTTACATCATTGTTTTATTCTGTATATCCACATTTTTTCCCCTTTTATTATATGATGAAAGTTCCTCTTCAGTTGAACCTCCCCTCTGAATTCTAAGTCATTATATTCGCTCCTACTCTTTAGGAGTATAATATCTTTATGTGATACTAGGAATACACACTGAGCCGGATATTTAAGTATGAGATGGTTTAAGTATGATATGGAGAAATATACTCAATGTGACAAGAACTTATGGTAGAGGGTCAACAATGATTAGTATTGGCATATGCATAGGACCAACTAGGGATTACATATCGTAGAAAGCGGATCTCGTAACTCTGGAGGGAAATATAGCGATATTTAACTGCAAACAAAAGGAAAAAAGAAAATTCTGCATCAGCATACTTACAAGATCTCAAACCTTTCTAACTAGAAGAGTAGTATTAATTCCATAAAGTCGCATCCCTTAATCTACCTTTCTTCTACGTATCGCTGAGCTGTCATGTTCCCTCTGACCGAGATTAGAGGTGACCTTGAACCAGAAATCTTTGCACCCCACACCATAACCCCAAAAGTGCAGCACACGAGCCGATCGATAAAAAACTATGGATTTCGTTTATCACCACATCGTCTTCTTTCACTGGCTCGGCCATCGTGTTTCCCTAAACAGAATCGGGATTCAACATTAAAGACAACCCCATTCTATTCTTGGTCCCAAGCCAATCGTTCTCTGCACCATTCAACACCATTACATCGATGTTCAAGGGTAAGAGGTAGCACACTGTGGATTAGAAATGAACGAAGGAGGCAAAACTGCGAATTCGAAGATAAATGGTACGCATCCCAATTGGTCTTCGGTGATTTGCAAACCATTGATTTGCAATAGACCTGTTGGTGAAGAAGCGGTGTCTTAGAGCCATCAACGTTAAGCGACGATTTTGACGTTTTGTTGTTCAACTTAGAATTTAAAATGTTTAATGTTTATCAAATTTAGAAAAACAGTTAATGAAAAACGAAAACCTAAACTAATATGGCTGAAATTCTAATAATTTATTATTTTTGACCAGATAAGCATGTATACCTACCAAATTATATTAGAATAAAATAAAATGAAAAAGACAGTCAAGATTTGATTTCACGTACAATGCGTCTGTGTATCTGCTTATACGTAGTTCGCCCTAAAAGGGCTAATCAGAATAGCTATTCACAGGCGTTCTGAACGTGAAAATAAATCTTTTCTGTCTTAGGAAGCAACTCTAACATGACTTCGTATGGACGCAAATAGCGACATCTGATAATAAAACCGTAAACTGTTTTCGAAACCAATTCAGATTTCTACTTCTAAAAATTGCAAGGCAAAACAGACGTTGATAAAGATGTTAATAGAGACATGGGAATCTAAAATTTGCATTCCACGACATGTCTCCTCAACTAAGCAAAAATCCTTAGCGAATTGGTTTCTTGTACTCATACAGAGTATATCCGAATAAAATGAACAAGACATGAGCGTTATTAACATCTTTATCAACGTATGTTTTGTCACTCTCTCTCAATTTCTGATGATTCCAATATTAGGTAGCATTACTATAGGTAATGGATTTTAACAAGAGCTATGAGTCATGCCGATTTAGTACACAAGTTTATCTGTTATTTACAAGGTCACAGCTCTTGTCAAAATCCATTACCTTTATTAACGTTATTATTTACTGATAGTTCATTATTACTTTGTATGTAGCCATTAATAATTAGCACTACACATTTTACAGTAAAACTTATTTTTTAGGTGGAAGAAGTCACGAATGTGCTACAAGATGGAACTTTAATAGATTTATGCGGTGCCACTTTATTATGGCGATCAGCCGAAGGTTTAAGCAAAACGCCGGTGAGTATTTACGGATTAATAAATTACGAGTCAAACGGCTGAGACAATATCCGTGCGTTATTGTTTTCATTCACGCGAATCCGACCAAAAACTAGAAAATCGAAAGTCAATATTGATGAATCATAATAACCAAAGTATCCAAATAAAAACAAATTTAGTAACGAATTACCGTTTTCTATGAAAGTGACAAAAGTAAAAAAATGTAGCAGTCAATACCAAAATCTTAAATTCTTAAACGTAATGTACAAATACAAATAATAATGTACATTATGCATATTAAAAATTCCATTTTTTGTGAAAAAAAGGAAACAAGGAAAATCTCCTTGTAGCAGTGCTTGTTTCTTTGTTAAATGAAAAGGATATAAATTTCCGTTTTGTAAGATATTTCCTGCGGAAGATTTTGAAATTGTGCGATACATGGTAGATAGTCTTCAAACGCTAATATTTAAATTTTCCTCAAGTTTCATTAAAATAACATCTTCATGTGCTGCTGTTAGATCATTATGGTGCTGTGTTTCATAATTTTTTTGAAACACTTAACTTGTTTCTGTTAATCTGGAAATTTTTGAGGATATCTAGGTTACTGCTCTAGCGTTACACCTCATTTTGCAATGAACTACTACATGCATTATCAGCATATTTCTCGTGAGTAAAAACCATTTTTGTTGAATTGAAATTCTTGTTTGAATGCTATAAAGTAAAAACTACAAGAGAAACTTCACGAACTGACAAAAATTTGACAATGAAAAACGTAGGTTATACTTCTGTTGACATTTCAAAGCCAACTAATGCAAAAATAATAATTTAACTATCATGATGATAACTATCATGATGAAAAACGACAGATTTTCAAATCGAACATGGCGTATGCTATCGACTTAAAATAAGAGTACCTTTTAGTACTAGAATACCTGAAAATCTAGTATCACAAATGCTTAAAATGTAAAAACAAAAAAGTTATGCGTTAAAATAACCATTGACCTACCCAAAACGGACGGCCTATGACCTGTACTAGAAATTACCAATTAACGGAATCGATTCAACTCTGGTGGATAAATAATCGTACCAATTTTCGTTTTTCTAAATAGCAGCGTTCTGGAGGTATTTAAAAAAAAACTAATTGCAAGCAGCCATCTTCAAAGAGCTGTAGCTCCCTTAGGAAGCATTTTCAGACTAGGTGAATTGGGTTTAGTTGTCTTAAAATCTGAGGAATCTCCGGTCTTTTTTTGTCAGGAGAGTTTCTGGGCACGCTGTATATTTCAAGTATTCAACTAGTGAATGCAGAGGTGTAATCGGTCATTTAGGTTGGCAAGTAAAAAAAAGAAGTCGGCTACTTCATTGGTTTAATAGAAGACGTTTCGCTTTATATTTCTAAAGCTTCATCAGTTCTCTAAAATACAAAAGATGAGAAAGAGTTTATAAGAAAGTGTATACAGATATTTAGAGTCCATAACTTACAACTCAATATCTGGATTATATTATGTTCTATGTACTGTAAAATTTATTCAACATTTGGAACTAACTTAAACAAACAAAAAACACTAACTGTCCAATTATTAATGTTCATATTCGACGATACGAAAGTTTAAATTGGACCTTTGGCTTCATTTAAATATGTTTCTAGAATGAAGACAGGCAAAGCACTGATTTATTGTTAGAGGTGGGTTGCGATCTCACGAACTGCTACTTTGTCACTGCTACAATGCTGTCACAGTCACAGTCCGCTACAGCTGGAATAATATAGCAGTGACATTCTGTCACGTTTTTCTACTGTGACTGCACCACTTCGGTCCAGTGTACGCTACACAAGACGTTGCGCTGGTCCATAGATCGTATTTGCGACAGTGACAAGCCTTGTTGACGGAGCATTTTCAAAATGGAGCAGTCGCTCTCATATGGTGACTGTGACTATTATTTGCTATTTGTAACATAAGGAACGACGTGGTCGAGCGTGGGAAAATAGCACCGTTAAAAATCCTTAACAAGTTATTTTCTATTAAATTATCATAAGATATATCATAAAGTCATACCTATTAAATTATCATGAGATAAAAAAAATAGAATTGAATAAAATAAAATCAATATATCTACTTCTTAAACTTTTAAAGGGAAAATCACAATAACCGAAGATAAAAATAAAACAGTGGTACAAAAAGCAAGGCATTACAAAAAATATTGCCTAAAATAATTTTTTAATAAAGTACTATAGTAAAGTTTTATAATAAATTCTATAATAATATTTTATAGTAAAGATTTATAATAAAGTAAAGTATAACATATAATTATAAATAAAGTTTTGCTTTATTTTAACATAAAAATACAGAAACTAATAATGGTAATGAACCTACCGACTACATGTAATACTTTTATAATACAAACCTATATAATAAACAAAAATACAGAAAACAACAAGCATGTCTTTTGCTTAAAAAATAAGATAAAATAAAATATATTTTGGAATATTCAAAGGTAGCAATAGTAGCAGGGTAACAGTTAAGATTAAACTGCTCCAAAAAATCACTGCTTTTTGTCACCGTGACAATACTGGAGCAGTCACATTTTGTCACAGCTACACAAAAATCGCAGATTGGCCCACCACTATTTATTGTAAACTATGCAAAAGACGCGACGCGATTTGAAGGTCCATATGTCAACCCAATTCCAATCACTGCAGAGGTTCGAGACACATTTTGACTTTCTACGGGGGTCGTTGAATAATTAGTTGGACGGGTGGATTTATATGGTGGAAATATTTGATATTTTTTTTTAATTTGGAAATGTGGGGTGATTGTGGTATTATTTTAAATGGAAATAAAAATTGCATTAATTAAAACAGTTTATTTTTGAGATTTTAGTCGTTTATAGATTAGTATTTACAAATGGAAAGTTTTTAATGAAAATGTATCATATACACTCCCATTATTGATGATTATTCTTTTATTTTTTCGATGAAAGAAGTCTGTAACATTAAGTTCATTTAAGCGATTAGTAGTGGCAGGTAGAAATTTTTGTGTTGTATGTAAAATGAATCTGTCAAATATTCCCAAGTTGAGCGAATGGACTTACATAAGAATGTACGTAATACTGAAACAAATACTAGCATCTAGTGAACTATACTGTTATTAACACTTGTAGAAATCTTGTATTGGTGGATAACACTCTCATGTCCAATAACTGTCTTGTGTCCAATAACTGGTGTTGTAACCTACCCGTCTTTTAATTAAGGTTTTTTTTTAAATTAATTTTAAATAAAGGTTTTATTATGCACCATTTTATTCTTTTACCTGTTTTATACATTGTTTATTATATTTAACTAGTTGACATTATTAATATTTTTTAGAATAAACGAGATTTAGAACGAGAAGTAGACGAAATTAATGCAGGCCGACCGCAATGTCCGGTTGGTCTCAATACGTTGGTGATTCCTAGAAGAGTATCGCCTAATGAAAATCAACAACAGCCTTATGTTTATTTAAATTGTGGACACGTCCAAGGCTTACACGATTGGGGCCAAGATAGAGATACAGGATCAAGAAAATGTCCAATTTGTTTAGAGGTAATTTTTTTTTGTTTTTAATTAATTATTTGAATTTGTGTATTAATTTAAGAAGAGGATTATTCGATAACATATGCCCGATTTCTCCAACGAAACCTAAATAGTTGCCTGCGGAAGTAGTTCTTATAGAAAGGAACTTCCTAAGTCAATACTTAGGAACAATAGCGTTTCACAACTAAAAGAAGTGCTTATCTAGGAAATTCTTTCTTAGCTATTAACTCGATTACGTTTAAACTATTGTTGATAAATAAAAAGAAGAATAAGATATCATAACCTTACGTATTCGATTTGTTATTATTAAGTTGTTTGTTTGCCAAATCCAGCTTGGATAAGATCCTCCACCTATAATTATAAGATGTAAATAACATCACCATTGCTTTACCTGAGTTGTCAATCCTAATGTGGGTACAATCCAATGTGCCGAGTACATTTGGGAACCTAGCAACCTCAGAAAATTTTAGTTTAGTAGATGCCATTTCTTCATCTGTAGCAGGAAATTTAATATATCTTTCTTTTAACCCAACAACTTTTAATGCAACAACTGCACACGTTTAATTACGTAAGAAATGTAATATATTATCATTTTGAATTCAAACTTGCACATTATACTTGTCTTTAATAACCTTAAAATCATTTTCTATTTGATCCAATACGTATAAAACTGATGGTGTAGACATTCGAAACCTTCGAAGAAAATCCACATCGGCCAAAGTTTCAAATTAATTTGGTTGATTCTTGATAACTCGAGGTCTTCCTTCTGTTTCTTCTTTAGAATCAGATGACGATTTGAACCATACAGGTTTTCGACAAACAGTAGTGCGGCATATCCGAAGTAAGAAGAAAAGGAGAACAAAAAATACAGCTAAAATCAGGAAATTTGCTATACTATAAAGGTAATGAAGAAAACAACAACAATGGAGTAGGATTTATAATAAATAAAAAAGTAGTTAAGTACATACAATCTACCAAGGGCATTGAACATTTCTACGAAGACATAACAACAGCTATGGAAGAAAAGAAATCAAAATTAATGGTAATAATCGGGGACTTCAATGTCAAAATAGGAGAACAACTATATAAAGAAGAACACAAAGTGGGACAACATGGATACGGCAAAAGAAATGATAGAGAACACACATTGATGAATTACTTGGAGGAGAAGCAACTATATGCAATGAGTACATTCTTTAAGAAAAAACCCCAAAGAAAATGGACCTGGATTAGTCCCAATGGTGAAACTAAAAACGAAATTTATTATATTCTTTCAACGCAAAAATCCATGGTTAAAGACGTAACAGCCCTAAATCGCTTCTCAACTGGTAGCGACCATAGACTAGTTCGAGCCAAGCTGATCATTGATAGTAGATTTGAAACAAGAAAGAAAATGGAAAATAATCAGAAATTAGACATGGAAAAACTAAAACAAGAAAAACAGACTTACGAAGAGAAAATAAAAGAAATATTGCCGACCAAGGAAGATATAGAACACAAACATATCAATGAAATAAACATGATATTTACTGAAACTCTAATGAAAGTGGGTAAAGAAATAGCACAGACAACAAAAAAAGAAAGTTTCATATCCCAGGAAACAAAGAATCTTATGAACACAAGAAGAACATTACTAGAACAAGGGGACAGAAATAAAATGAAATACAAAGAAATAAACAAAACTATTAGAAAAAATATCAAGGGTGTAAACGGAGGGTACAAGAAGAAAAGATAGAGAAAATAATTGAAAAAAAAATAGAAACATGAAGTGCTTAAAGCAGAACCTGGGAAACATACAAATTAATAGTATAAAGAAAAAGAGGAGTGGAGACCAATGATATAAAAAAAATTTACAGATAACGCACGAATATTATACAAATCTCTATAAAACAGAACAAAAACCAACCCAAGAAATCCGTAATCAGTTACAACTGAAAATAAAAAACGTTAACTCTGACCTAAAACCAGAAATTAGTAAAAATAAAATAAAAAAGGCACTCACAGAAATGAATAATAACAAATATCCTGGGAAAGATGGAATAACTGGGAAATGCTAAAAAATGGGGGGAAAACTACAGTGGAAGTCCTTTATGTACTAATGAATAAAATATTGAACAGAAAACAAATACCCACCACATGGAACGAGGCAATAACAGTATTACTATTTAAGAAAGGCGATAGAAAAGATCTGAAAAACTATAAGCCCATAACACAACTTAATGTAATGTACAAACTGTTAACTAAACTACTAACAAACAGATTAACAACTAAGTTAGATAATTACCAGTCAAGAGAGCAAGCCGGTTTTAGAAAAGGATTCAGTACAAGCGACCATCTGCTTACGATAAAAATATTAATTAAAAATGCCAACGAATATCAAATCACAATGTATATGGCATTTGTAGACTTTGAAAAAGCATTCGATAAGGTAGAACATTGGGCAGTAAAGAACTCTTTACAAAATGGGAGAATAGACTATAGATGTACGGACTTAATTTCCAATATATATGATCAAGCAAAAACATCCATTAAAATAGTTGAAAAAACGGAGCCTATTAAGATACGGCGAGAAGTCAGACAGGGTGACACTATATCACCCAAACTATTCAATCAAGCTTTGGAATACGTTGTGAGGAAATTACAATAATGGCCAATACTTGAATTACTTGAGATATGCAGACGCCATTGTATTAATAACAGATAAAATGGAAGAATTGCAAAATGTGTTGGATGAATTAAATAGCAAATCAACAAAAATGGTTTACAAATGATTTATAATAAAACGAAAATTATGACCAACCAACCAGAAGAATTAATAATTACAATTGCACAAACAACTATAGAACAAGTAAAAGAATATGTATATTTGGGACAACTAGTTAAATTAAATAAAGAAAATTAAATCGGAGAAATAAAGAGGATACGATTGGCTTGGATATCCTTCGGAAAACTTTCCTCTATACTAAAAAATAGAAAATATCCCCAATATTTAAAAACAAGGGTCTTGAACCAATGTATACTTCCTGTTCTCACCTACGGTTCTCAAACTTGGACGTTTACAAAGGAAAACATGGAAAAAATAGCAAAGACCCAAAGAGCCATTGAAACGCAAATGCTGAACATCAGGCTATCAGACAAGAAAAGAAATACTTGGATCCGCAACAAAACAAAAGTGACCGATGTATCAACGCAGACAGCAAAGTGGAAGATCGCTGAACATACCAAAAGACAGAAAGACGACAGATGGAATAAGATGATTGTACACTGGAGACCATATAGTTACAAACGAGATGGTCAGATGACTTGAAGAAACACGCAGGCTCGAAGTGGATACAAACTGCCTACAGTAGAGAGACGTGGAAGATGGAAGAGAAGGCCTATGTCCAAATTTGGACAGCAAGGGCTGTATAGTTAGATAGATAGTGGTGCGTCCATATTATGAATAGTACATAGAAAATAATTGACAAATTTCACAAGTATATCCGACAAAACCAACTATAAGTAATACCTAAAATGTTTAGGGAGATCGTAAAACGTACCCTACACTAAGGAAATGCTTAAGCGGTTTAGGCAATTCTTAGCGTATGACCATTTTAGATTTAGGATGTACCTAGCCCACATTTAGCTGGTGCAATCCTGTCAACTCCCATTTGTCTCGAATTTGATGCAAGAATTTTCGACATATAGTATTTGAGTATTTTTTGCTGGAATCACTTCAGGATGTAACTTGTATCAAAAATCACGATTCACATTACGCGCAAGTCGCAAACTTTGTGTCAATTTTATATATATGAATATAGTATATATAGTTTATATATATATATATATATATATATATATATATATATGATATTATATATATACAAATAACAGTTTATTAGGGTTGCAGTCAGATTATTGGCCGGGATGTTAAAAAAACACTCTTTTGACTTTTTGTCGAGCTTTCGGAAATGTTTTATTCCTTTTTCAAGACCACTGCATATGGACAAAAAATGTAAATTTTAAAAAAATATCACAATTCTTCAGTGTAACTTATAGTCGTTGAGATTATGAGTATAAGCATTTACACTCAACATTTTATAACACACATTAAAAACATTAAAATATACAATTATGGACACTCAATACATTATAAAATTCTTAAAAATCTTATTGTAAAAATAGTAGGTAAAACTTAGTGATGGCATGTTTTACTTTGTTATTAACTCATGCAGAGAATGGAAAGTAACACTGTAATTAATATGTACTTTAGGTGTAATTGATGTTATCTTTCTTATTTAAGTGTTCTCATTACACCTAATTACATATTAATTACAGTGTTTACCTTTCCATTCTCTGCTATGAGGTAATATAACAAAAAGTACAACAATGCTATAACTAAGTATTTACCTACGTATTTTTACAATAAATTTTAAGAATTTTATTATGTATTGTGTCCATAATTGTATATTTTTATGTTTTTATGGTGTTATAAATGTTGAGTGTAAGATGGGCTTTTATACAAATACTCTCAACGACTAGTAAGTTACACTGAAGAATTGTGCTATTTTTTAAATATTTACATTTTTGTTTTATTGCAGTTTGTCTTGAAAAGATAAAAAGATTCCGAAAGCTCGACAAAAAAAGTCAAACGAGTGCTTTTTTTAACATCGGCCAATATCTGACTGCAACCCTAATTACTGTTTTATTTGTTTATATTTCAGTCATATAATATCAGTATTATTATTATATATAGTATATATATTTATATATATATACTATATTATTAATTATATATATATATATATATATATTAATATATATATTATTATTATATATATATATATAAAAAATTCTGCATCAAAAATCAAAAATGTTTATAACGCGGGAGATATTTATCATACAACAAAAAACTACATACAAAGAAAATACGATTATTGAATGGCATAAAATTGTTTATTGCCAATTTTCCGTTTTGCAATTAGAAAATATATTTGAAAATATCATATTTAAAATCCTTATCGTCCAAGACATCGATTTAAAAAAAAAAAAAAGATCAAAATTGGATGACATGAAGCCGAGAAAATAGAATTTTTGAGGCGCATTGTGATTTAGAACCCACTAATTTTGTTCTAAAAAGAACAGATTTTATTAAATAGGTAAAAATATAAAACAAGAGGTATTCACTTATAAATGTAAAATAATAAAGTACAAAAAGTGTGAACACCGCAACTGTCAAATAAGTGTTACCAATTTATGCCAAAATTTCACCTTCGTTCGATTACAGTTACAGTGTGTTCCGAACAAATGTTCTTCATAAAAACGCTTTATAATGCATTTATACAAATTAAATGAAACATATTATTGTGTATTTCTTTAAGTTAACATGAATAAAAATCTTTAAATATTATTTCTACGCGTATATAATAAAATATGCCTAGTGGCTGTAATGCCAGTGTACTTGGCAAAGTGATTCTAAAAAAGAACACACCTACCGCCTAAATATTTCGTGTTGGTATCATGTGACGTCACGGGCTATGACGCCGATGACGTGAAACGGTATTTAAATTCGATGAAGTATAGGTGACAACTTATCTACATAGAAAAATATCCAAAAACGTAAAGTTTAAAAGTACCAATTTACAATATGTAAAAAAAGTAATTCAACTTTAGTTGCCGTCAATATTCTTGAATTTTGATCAAAGTTCTGAGACGTGAAAATATTTCATTTGAATGAGCTTTGCTGAAAATATCGGCACGGTTTAATTTTGTATTTATGTACTGAAAAATATGTACTTATGTACTCTAATTGTTTTCAATTAGATTTCGAATGTTGCCGCTTTTAAAATCATAATTATATTTTGAGGTATCCATTACTTAAACAATCGCAAAATGAGAACTAACTTCGTTCACTTAAACACGAAATGAAAATGGGAAACCCCGAACTATCGAAATGAGTAGTGAGCGAATTGACAACACTGTGAGTCTATACGGTCGTGTATACGAGGCCGCAATACCACAATACGGATAAAAATTATACTGATGAGGCTGTCAAATCGGAAATCATTAACTCCAACCTTCTTCGTGCAAAACCACTATTTGAGCTCACTCTTCATTAGTAAAATTTCTCGATTCACGTTGCATTTTGATTAAAACAATAAGAAAATATTACCACCAAACAGCAATAGTTCACACAACGACTGAAAAATGACACTAACCTCTTATCGACATTAACAAATTTACAGCACCTTTGTTTTGTGTTCCTTAGAAACCGGTTGAAACAAAAAACAATACAAGTAACCTGATAAAAACATTACAAATACATGGTATATTCCATACAAAAATCAATACAATTAAATTTAAAACACCGATGAATCTCTTTTTTTGTTTTTGTAAATGGTGCGGTAATTTCTTGGAGTAGTGTATTTACATGTTCTCCCACCGTAATCAAAAAATTTTATTTAAAAAAGTTGTGCATACTTTTATTCAGAATATTTTGGTGTCAAATTTACACGGTTACCAACGAGGTATAGGTCATGGTCATCCTTTTGAGGGTTCGCCACTCGCCTACAGTTTGAACATGAGCGGCAGGATCGAGAATAAAAATAACTTCAGTTCGTGGGTGACCGCGATTTTTCACAAAAGTTTAATCATTTGGTACATTTTTGACACATTTCTTCTTAAATACTCGTTTAGGTATAATTTTTGTCGGACAGATGTACTATAAGGCCTAAATTTATGTTTCCTTAAAATTCACCCAGCACTTGTCTTTGGAATTCCTATTTCCTTCTCAATTTGGTGTCTTTAAGTTTTTTAAAATTGTATTGTCTGGTAGCCTCATTTCTGAATATCATAGAGATATATATCAGAAAATATAATTCAAATGCAGCAAAATACCTTTCTTTTGGATTTCAATATGTGTCAAATACACATCAAATTTTTTATAATTTTAAAAATTCATATTTTTGTTAACAACACTTTACATCGAAACAGTAATTTATTGTGACAGATAACACAGACGAAAAAGGTATTGTTTTATTTGTCAATCTAACATTACCAAGGCCTATTCTAAGAAATGAACTTTCTTACAAGATGTAACAATATGTCATTTTAGATCAAACAAAATAATGCAGTTTAAGGAAATCAAAATCGAAACCTGAGAATAAATTTATTTTAAAGTAAAATTGTAGATTATTATATATAAAAATTGCAAATTGCAATAAGATGCCACAAGAAAATAGCTTCAGAACAATAATAAAAAAAATATAAGTCAATAATAGTATATCGAATAAAAAATTATAAATGGAAACTAAAAAGGTAATATAATACATTGTGTTCTATTTTGTGACAATTTTATTTATAAAATATGGAATCAGTACTTTACAAATAATTATTCAAACAATAAGTAGTTACATAAGTATTTACTGTACTTTAAGTTAGGTAGGTACTGATTTTATTTTTGCTAAATAAAACCGTCAAGGGATTAGTATCCTTATAATAAAATATTCAAATGCTTTCCAATTTTGACAAATATAATTTGTTACATCTTTTAATAGCCGTAAATAAAACCTGATACCATTATTATAAAAAAGACCCACTAAAAGGGATAAAAACATCAGTTTTTGACAGCAAAATAGAGGATGTCAGGATTATATTGACCGACGATTTGTTGAATAGTTAAAATATATTTTTGGTTTGATATGGCTGCTTAAGTAGTAGCATAGTTATAAGTTGTTCACTACCGATCCAGACCTGTATACTGACTGACCCGTTAGACCCGGCTCTAAATGTTATTATGATGTCTTTTAAAACCAGGATCGAATGTGATCCGAGGACCGCGTCTGTCACATACCTAAGAACAGTTTGTACACCTAAAAATTTTATTTTTCTTATTTTTTTACGTATATTACTGTTTTAATAGTAAAGAGTATTAAATATTAAGGGTACAGTAGGTAATCTCCCAGTATCTGTTTATTCATTGACACATAAATCAGATAAACAAAACAGGTCCATTGTATGTAACAGATAAACAAACTTTTGTCTATAAATAAAATTGTATGCAAATAATTCTAATATAATAAAACTTAAATTATAATTATTTTTAGGTGGGACCTGTTGTTAAAGTATTCATGGGATTAGAACCAGCTTTTTACGTCGATTCAGGACCGCCGTCATTTGCTTTTAATCCTTGTGGTCATATGGCAACGGAAAAAACTGTCAAGTAAGTTATTAATTCATTCTAATTGCTTGTAAAAAAAATATTTAACATATTTTTTTCATATCTATAACATAGTGATGTAGTAACTTCTATTTCTAGGTATAAGTCAATTAGTCAAAAGGAACAAATGCTTTTACTTCAAACTAAGGTAGCAAAATCTTTAAAGTATAATAAATCAGTATGTACTAATTGCTTCACAATCGAAGTAAAAGCATTTGCTGCACCATACGCAAATACTTGAATAAATGTCACTTGTCAATGATTCTAAAAGAATCTAAACAATGTGAAAATACTTAACGCAGTTTTTTCTCAGATGGTCTTGGTTATATCTTTACGGTTCATATAATCTGGGGTCATGGTCATCTGAAAATCCTCTTTCTTAAAGATTTACTGCATTTCCAATATATTTGGGTTGGTGAATATAAAAAAATTGTTCAAATACTCAAATGTGTCATTGATTAGTAAAAGCGGTACACCTCTATATTTTACAAAAACATATTTTTCCCTACTTTCTAAATAGTATCCATTTATTCATTTTTACTATAAAAGTACATTTCAACTTTTATTATAAAAGTGGTACAATGTCACTATAATCAGTTAGAAGGCGCTACTTATTTACCCAAGTTAACTACTACTAAATATTTCCTGTAAAAATAAAGTAAATCATAAATTAAATTTGGCAATACTACAAGCTGGTGATGAAAACGTGAAAAAGAGCTTGGGTACCAAAGAGAGCTTCATCTACGAAAATCAGATTTAGAAAGAAAAAAAATTATTCATAGTATGTGTCATATTTATCTAACCACTTTGGCAGTATCATGACAATTTGTATTTTAGATACCACTGCTCTAAGCAGATTAACGGAACTACATCCAAATCAAGTCCTTAAATTGTTCAACCAAGAAATACCCCTTCTTCTCGAGGTTGTCTCTTTTGCCTTATTTTGCACCAAGTTATAAAGTTCGTCTTTGGTGATGTGTCTTGATTTATTGTATCAAAAAAAAGTTCATTGGTCAAAATTTCCTCGTCTTTTCCTATTCTTCTCGATATCTCGACGTTTGTGACCCGATCTACCCATCTCATTTTCCACATTCCTCTGCAAGCCCACAGTTCAAAAGGTTTCAATGTATTAGTAGTATATTTCTTTGATGTCTAAAGGTCGATTCAAATACATCAGTCACGTCTCGTCACAGACCCGGCGCCGAACCGAACAATCCGTCATACAAAATATTCTTTAATAGAAATATGCCCCGGTATTCACATTAATCAGTTGACGAACAGTTTCCCAGCTGTCAGATAATTAATAGTTCTGTGACCAAACAGGACCGGTTCGGCGCCGGGACTGTGACGGGACTGATGTGTTTGAATCGACCTTTAGTTTCTATTCGGAAGATTAGCTCGGACAATACGAAACATATCGACAGAAGATATCCTATCTGTAAACCTATTAGGATCTTAAGTACATAGTAGATACAGAGTAGCTTTTTTAATTGAGGCAAAAGTATTTTTTGCTAGTCCTATGTCTTCATTTTTTCCGTGTATCACTTTTTCTACTATTAATTGTGGTTTTCTTGTTCTCCGGCCTCTCCTGCCTCTGGTTGGTTGAGAGGTGCAATATCCATCTCCAGCTCGTCTACGGCAGGACGGAGTTCTTCCTTGGTCTTTGGAGGATTTATCCGCATGAAGTGGCGGATTTCCGGGCGTAGCTGGTCAATTATAACTCTGCATCTTTCTTCATCCAGGGTGTTTGGCGATACCCTGTTGAAGAGAGCCATCTTCTGGGAGATGAAGTCCACTGCGGACTCCATATTCTGCTGCTTGTGGCCGTTTAACTTGCCTAACAGCTTGGTAATCCTTACAGAATGGCTGAAATGATCACTCAGCCTCTGGAAAAATATGGTGTGATCCAACTTCTGAGAGGTGTGGGATGTGGCCCATGTGGCGGCTTTTCCGGCTAGTCCCTGGTCCAATGTATATGCTGTCTAGTGCTTCTCCTCGATCCCCATGTCTGCTAGGTGCTCCGTCGCCAGGGTGGCGAACTCCTCAGGACTTTCATGCTTCATGCCGCTGAACTTCTGTAGGGTTGGCTTCCATCTCGGAGAGGGTGTCGGTGGGGTAGGTGGGTGCTCCGCCTTGGTTTGCGCTTGGGTTAGTGCCGTCACTGATTGCATTAGGGATGCAAGCATCTTCGTCAAGTTTGGGACTTCGGTAGCATGGGACATCTCAGTTGTGGAGTTGTTGTCGCCAGAGATTGGATGCCATGTCGCTGTCCTGAACCCTCAGGAATGAGGGAAGGTGGCTCAGTCGCACTATCCATAGCTGAAATGGACCAGAGCAGATAAAGTTCACGGTCCGTGGACATATAGGTCGTATATGCCCACAAGCTAGTGGGAAAATACCTTTTTAAATAAATGCAAATAAATGTTAATTAAAACTAAGAATCTGCAAGATAAGAGCTAATTAGTCTTAGAACTAAGAATCTGTAAGAGAGAGTTATTAATTATCACACCTAAGACTAATTTAGCGAAAAAAAGTAAAAATGAAAAAAAGGTGAAAATTTTACTAAGTCGATTTTGTTCAAAAGTCCCTAAAGGAGGATAAATATAAAAAAATCCTTAGTTATTTTCTGTCTGAAAATACCTAAGTCCCTAAAGAAAAAAAGAAGTCGCCGAAAGAAATATTATAAAAATATTATAACCATTCTTCTAAGTTCCATTCAGGAACTTAGAGAGTCTGAAAGAGAAATAATTTTACAAAAAATTCACAGAAAAATACCAAATAAATAAATATGAAAAATTATTCTAAGTACGTTTATGAACTTAAAAAAATCTGAAAGAGTATGACTACCAAGTCATAAATACGATTAATTTCGAAATTAAATATTTCACGGAAAATCGAAAATGCTGAAATAAATACAGTTTAAATACAAATTATACTGTCTCGTAATTCTGAAATAAAAGGAGAACGGTTAGGTGCAATAAAAAGCAGAGTTTCTATGAACTAAATTTACCAGAAGGTCTCTAGTGCCAAGAAGGCTGGTTCTGCGGATCCATGTCCAGACCATAACGAATTTTTGGGAGTTGTGCACCTATACTTCTATGAAATTAAGTAGGTCAAGACCTCCAATGCGTTCTGCCATTGGAGCTTGCACAACAGCCAATGCTCAATTTCGGGCAATACCATTGGTTGCAATTATGGCGGCAAGTTGGCCAATCGTAAAGCCGGAATTGAGCTATTGGCGACAACCTGAGGCGCAAGAAAACAAGCAGAATTTCATAAATTGTACCTAAAACTTCGCGGAGATGATAACCGTTTCTATACATATGTTAGAACGAATTTTGAAAGTTTTGATGAAATTAAGCAAAATGAGTCAGCAGGTCGCGACCAGTATGTGCTGATTCACTTATTTGTTTTAGACGCGTCGTGATGACGTGAAGATCAGAAGACCAAATGGATATTCCAAAAGACTTGAACAACACCATGAATGATACAGGCGTCATTCCAAAGGTATGATGATGTTCTCTACTTTACCAAAAGAAGCTAACGCTAGAAAATGCTGTGACCACTGAACCATCAACTTAAAGCGGAAAACACACCTAAGTGAGAGCGCCCACCAAAGTGGCGTGGCAAGTAGCACGTAGCAAGTAGCACGCGTCTAGCATGTTTCTTAAAATGTAACCAATGAAAACGAATGATTAGAATGAATGACGTCACTGTCATTTTGGTGTACACTGAATCATTCGTTTTCATTGGTTACATTTTAAGAAACATGCTAGACGCGTGCTACTTGCCACTTGCTACGTGCCACGCCACTTTGGTGGGCGCTCTCACTTAGGTGTGTTTTCCGCTTTAAGTTGATGGTTCAGTGGTCACAGCATTTTCTAGCGTTAGCTTCTTTTGGTAAAGTAGAGAACATCATCATACCTTTGGAATGACGCCTGTATCATTTATGGTGTTGTACAAGTCTTTTGGAATATCCATTTGGTCTTCTGATCTTCTTTTTTTATGTAGACATGACTCTATTTTTGAATGTGCCTGCAGTAAGTTGTTCCATCGTTTTCGTGGTCTTTCTACTGGTCGTCTTCCTATTGGGGAACCGTCCCTTGCTGTCTTTACTATTCTATTTATTCTTATTCGGCTTTTATGATCGTTCCATTCTACTCTTCTATTTCTTACCCAGTTTGCATCTACGTCGTGTATCTGTACTTCATAGTGTCTTACCATTAATTTTTCTAAGTGTTTTCATCTCTGCTGTTTCTAACATCCTTTTTTTGTCCTGTCTGTGTCAGGTCATGTTTCTGCCGCGTATTTCATTATTAGTCTGATGACTATTTTATAAATTCTGCTTTCATTTCTTTCCCGATATTTTTATTTCTCCGTATTGTTTCATTCAGGCAACCTGCGGCTCCGTTTGCTCTGTTTACTTGATCTTCCACTTCAGTTTCGATCTTTCCGTAGCTAGATAATGTGATGCCTAGGTATTTAAACTCCATCACTTGTTCTATTATCTGACCTTGTAAATTTGCTGTTATAACCATGCATTTTGTTTTTTTTTGGAATACGTTGTGAATCATCTTCACTTTGAAAGAGTATTGCGTCGTCTGCATAGCAGATTATTTCAAGTTGTTTTTCTCCCATTTGGTATCCTTTTTTAGTTCTTACTTTTTTTATTATTTCATCTATAATAAGGTTGAACAAAAGAGGACTCATGGAATCTCCCTGTCTTATCCCATTGCCACCTTCAATAGGGTCATTTAGTTCTTGTTCTACTTTTACTTTTATTGTGTTGTTTTGGTAGATATTTTCGATCGTTTTGATTTTTCCTAAAGGTATCTCTCTTGCGTACAATAAATGAATAACGTTCTTTAATTTACCCGGTTTAATGCATTCTTTAGGTTCACGAAACATCGATTGTTGTATTCTAATGATTTCTCTTGGACTTGTCTCGTTATAAATATAGCGTCGGTTGATGCTCTTCCCCACCTAAAACCTTGTTGTTCTTCTGCTAGTGTTATAATTTCATTCAGTTTATTTGTTATCACTTTGGTTGCTAATTTTAGTGTTATGTTTAATAAATTAATTCCTCTGTAATTTTCCGGGTCCTATTTGCCTTCCTTTTTGAAGAGAGGTATTAGGATGCCTGATCTTCATTTTTGAGGAATTCTGTTTTATTCTATTATTTTTTGGATTAGTTTTAATAGTTGTTTGGTCAAGTTAGATCTGGTCCTCCGTACTTTAGGAGTTCGTTCGGTGTTCTGTATTCTCCCGGCGATTTTCTGTTTTTTAATTCCCTTAATGCTTCCTTTACTTATTCCTCCTTTATATTTATTTCTTTATTTATTTATTTCTCTCTAGTTTGTTCATCTATTTTCTTTGTCCTATGATCATTCTCCATATTTCTTTCTGTGTTCTGTAGAAGTCGTGTTCCATTCGTTTTGAGAAGCTCTAATAGTGTTCGCTTTTTATTAGTCTACTAAAGTACCCGTGTCTAATTATTTATAGTGGTTGTATGCCTGTTTTTGTCTGTTGTGTTCTATATTGTAAAAAGGAAAAGTTCTTTTCTTCACATTTTGGCTTCCTCTTTAAACTATGGTTTTTCTTTTTTGATATGTTCATAACAAAGTACATATTCGCTACTTTCTTTTGCTGCTCTAAGTGATTTTTTTGATGCGTTAATTGTGTTATTTTTGACTTTTTCCCTTTTCTCGATGTTATCGTTTTCTAATCTTTCATTCCCAGCAATCTCTAATATAATTTATTTGTGTTGGCGCCGCTCTTTTAAATGTGAAATATTTCATGATTATTCCTATTTTACATAATATTAGGCTATGCTCGCTACCTACATCTGCTGAGTTGAGGCAGTGTTTAGAGTAACACATCTTGAATATAAACAGAAATGTGAAGAAAATAGCGGGGAATCACAATTTTACTTCATGAAAGGGTGAGATGTGAGAGAGGCTTTGTTTTTAATCCAAACCATAAACGAGTTATGACTAACCAAGATTTTTTGATACGTTTAAGAACTGTAGGCTACGAACCAGAACTAATCAACATGGTCAAGGAAAGAACAATTTAGAAACATAAGGAACTAGTGTAATTGGTGTAACCATATTTCGAAAAGCCTAAAAGACTTTTTACTACTCTGTAAAAGGTTGAAGAGTAAATAACCGGCAACATGTAGCTAAGCACAACAAAAGAAGTGTTTAATTACCAAGCTTTTCTTTTTAATATGTACTTATTAAAACTTTACCACATTATTATTTTTAACCTTTGTGTTTTATTTTAGATATTGGGCCAATAATGTCTCGATTCCACATGGTACTAATAGTTTCCAAGCAGTTTGTCCATTTTGTGCTTCTCCTTTGTTAGGTTCACCGGGTTATGTTAAATTAATATTTCAAGATAACATTGACTAAATATGGTTTTTATAGAGGGGTAATCTATTTTATCAATAATAATCAAGCAAAAGTTGCAAATCTAATCATGTTGATACTTTTTAATTTTTATTAAAGATACATTAAATTTTTTTAAAGTTTTGTGTTAACTAAATAGAATAATTATCAATTATTTCATGAAATACTTTACTAATACCGTCGCAAATTCCCGAACATATGTAAATGAGTGCAAAAGTATAACACATTGATAATTATACTTGTATTATTTGTGTTTACAATATAAAATATTACAATTTCACTTTTTTGACAGGCCAGAAATGTTATCAATGATGCTCATTTTATTTTGAATCAATGAATTATATTTGTCCCTGTTGACACAAATATTTGATAACTTTCTTACCAGTGTCGCTATTGCATAATTTTTTGATGTGTTCACTAGAATATTCTTTTCTTGTACATCCAAAAGATAAAATTAATCAATTCATTCGTTCCAATAAATATTCTATGTATGTGTGCCTAGAATGAGTTTTAAATGTAACTTGAAGAGTTGAATAATTGCAGCTGGTGTAACATCACCCACTAGCAGTATTTCAGATCGTCTGTCATCTACTGGTATTTCTCACAACAGTCAATAACATCAAACTATATACATATATCAACCACAACACTTCGGTCCAGTATTCTTTCTCCAATCGAATGCTTTTTAGAAATCACAGATCGGTAAAGTTTTTTTATAATATATACATATATATATATATATATATATATATATATATATATATATATATATATATATATATATATATATATGCGCTAACTGAAATAGATGAAACCGAAAAACATCTGGTACACAACATCTCGTGACCATTCGACAAAACCCAAATGTGGGTTTTACGTAATATATTTGCGACCATGGAAACAAGAGAAAATGAATATTCTAAACATGGTCGAGAGGGAACTGAACAAATACACTGTAACATTAGATATACATATGAAATATAGAGTATGATGCAAAAGTAAGGAATAAATTCATATTTCAGAAACAGACAAGATTTAAAAAAATCAACACGTCAATTTTAATTTTTAAATGGTTGTCAATTGCTATATATCTGTTGAACATTACGTCATCAGTGTTGGCATAGTGACGTAATCGACGATTTTTTAAGTACAAACCGAGTTCACAGGACACCTCATTTAAAAGGTCTCCTAATCGCCTGTGGAACGATGTATTATCCGAATATTTATTTCTACAAGGTTTACCAAAATTATGTACTCAGTTAACTAAAATGGAATTACAAGAAATACTCATTCACTAAACTAAATTAACTTAGGAAAGAATTGACTGCTCTTCTTTCTCATTGTATCATTGGCGAAGGTCGTCAATTTCAATATTTCTTATAATTTTATTGTATATTGCTAATTTCATCAATAAACCAACATGTTTGGTTAACTTTGTAGAAATAAATATGCAAATAATTGCATCGTCGCAATGCGATTAGGAGACCTTTCAAGTGATGTATCCCGTGATCTCGTTTTGTATTAAAAAAAATCGTCTATTACGTCAACGCTGATGACGTAATGTACAATGATGCAATAGCAATTGAGGGCCATTTAAAATTGATGTGTTTTAATTTTTTTTTAAATGTCATGTGTTTCTGAAATAATGAATTTATTCCATATGTTCGCATCATACTGTATATAAATGCTGGATATTAGATGTAAATACTGGATACCTAAGAAATATCTTGGAATATGTTGTTAATTATCTGTGCATTACTGTCAAACAATATTTACACTTGAAATTTTATTTTTCTGGTTAGAAAAAGGATTTGCTCATCAATATTATCCGAAAATTATGGTACCAAATACTGTGAAAATTTGTACATTAATGTGTAAAATTTGTATGGTCTTATTGAAAAATTTGTTATCATAATGTTCCTATATTTATTGATTTTATGTCTCAAAAGTATTTTTTTACTGTTTGTGCTTTAATAAATTTGGTTTATAAAAATCCTTTTTATTTTTATAAATTTAAGAAAAAAAAACAAGAACGAAAATTACCTTTGAAATGAAAGGGGAAAATAATACATTTTTATATTGAGTAATATACATCGAAAAAATATTAAAAAATTTCTAGTATATAAACCATGGTTTATCTTTTTTGATATGTTAGTATTCGCTACTCGAAGTGATTCTTTTGATGCGTTAATTGTATTATTTTTGACTTTTTCGCAGCTTTTCTCGATGTTATCGTTTTCTAATATTTTATTCCCAGCAATCTTCTCTGATATTCTTTTTCTGTATAAGTATTCCGTGGTTTTTCCGTATTTAGTCCTTCGACTCTGATTTTTGTTTGTTCTGGTGCCGCTCTCTTAGGTGTGAAGTATTTCATGAATATTCCTATTTTACATAATTCTAGGCTATGTTCGCTACCTACATCTGCTGAGTTGAGGCAGTGTTTAGAGTAACACATGCTTGAATATACTTGAAATGTGGTGAAGAAAATAGCGGGGAATCAAAATTTGGCTTTATGAAAGGGTGAGATGTAAAAGAGACTTTTTGTTTAATCCAAACTATAAACGAGTTATGACTAGCCAAGATTACTTGATACGTTTAAGAACCTTGGTCATATCCTTAGGGGAAGCAAATACTACATTCTCAAACTAATTTTGCAATGAAAGGTACAGGGGTGCCAAGACACAGGAAGAAAACAATATTTCTGGCTAAGAAACTAGTGTAATTGGTGTAATCATATTTCGAAAATCGTAAAAGGTACTCTGTAAAAGGTTTAAGAGTAAACAACCGCCAGATGTGGCTAAGCACAAGGAAAGAAGAAGTGTTTAATTACCAAGCTTTTCTTTTTAATATGTACTTATTAAAACTTTAAACCAATTATTATTTTTAATCTTTCTGTTTTATTTTAGATATTGGGCCAACGTCCCGATTCCACATGGTACTAATGGTTTCCACGCAGTTTGTCCATTTTGTGCTTCTCCTTTGTTAGGTTCACCGGGTTATGTTAAATTAATATTTCAAGATAACGTTGACTAAATATGGTTTTAATACAGGGGTAATCTATTTTATCAATAATAATCAAGCAAAATTTGCAAATCTGATCATGTTGATACTTTTTAATTTTTATAAAAGATAAATCAAATTTTTTAAAAGTTTTATGTTAACCAAATAGAATCATTATCAATTATTTCATGGAATAATTTATTAGTATCATTCGAATATTCCCGAACATATGTAAATGTACAAAAGTATAACATAGATAATTATATTTGTAATATTTGTGTTTACAACAATATAAAACATCACAATTTCACTTTTTGACAGGACAGAAATGTTGTCAATGATGCTCATTTTATTTTGAATCAATAAATTGAGTAATAAACATCGAAAAACTATTAGAAATGTTTCTACTATATCATACTTCGCGTACTAGAGCTATAGTCCCTTACAAGGATTTAAATTTTTTATTTTGTAGAAATTTTGAATAGATAAATAAGTTTTAATGACTTTTCAGGTTTTAAGGGAATGTACTGAGAATCAACGTTTCCCTATGAATGCAGGGAGTATCTCATTAATGGTAACAAATGATGAATGATTATAAACACCACACGCATATGAGCTAGTTTGTCAATGTCTAATCGCTCTACACGTAGTTCCTTTTCGCCAACCTTAATACAACGAAGAAGAAATCGGAACCTTTGTAGAGTCATCTATCTATTTAAAAGGCTAGGACGACAACTCTCACTGTTTGTCTGGTACGATAACTCCTAGCTCCTGCAAAACAGCATCTTCGATATTAATGAACGCCTAGCGATATACAAGATATCATAGGGCACTATGGATAAAAATAGATTTACTGTAAAACAAATTTTAATTCAATGACTTAAAGAAGATCTCTTGCTGAGTACAAAGTAAACAACTGATCGATTCCTGACATGCGATATAGCAAATTGAAGAGGAGAATATAACGAATATAATAAGGAAGAAAAAACAAACAAGGCGACTACCAAAAGGCACTACACAGCGTCTTTGTTATTAATGAACATATATCGACATGCGATATATCACATGGCCTGCGATGGACTAAATTACTAAGATAAAAAAATGGTCCAGCATTTCGATGCATAAATAAAACTGGAAAAACTGGACTTCTTACTAGTCTCATTTTTGTGTTGATAGTTATTTCATGACTTTTCCAAATTTTTGTTAATTTTGCAAATCTTCCCGCCACCGTTCTAGTAGATACTCAGTAACTTGCCGCATTATCCATTCACAAGGTATGTTTAATAGATTTCACAATTCCGAAAGAACTAACAACGATATTTTTGTATCCAATTACTATCAGTGTGTCAATAAAATCATATTTGTCAATATTACTTACAAGGTAATCTCTTTATGTATCTAAGTTTTGGGTATATACGCAAACGACAATTATAGTGAGGTTGTATAATATATATAATATATATATATATATATATAGATATATATATATATATATATATATATATAGTGAGGAAATTTTTACTTTAAAATAAAATAAACAAACGTGTGCTGCGCGAAATTATGTATTTTTGCCTCAATATACCGGATTTCAACCAGTAAACGAATCAGATACTCGGCCTGCATTGAGTGCTGAGTTTAAATGTTTTTTGTTTCTTCTCCAAAGAGGAGTCCTTTAAAATATACACACTGAAACTTCACCATAATTTATATCTGCTGTAAACATACATATAAATTAAGGGTTATAGTTCTATTTTCTGAATATGAACTAAACATAATGCACGCAAAAATAAGCACGTACTTTGACGAAAATCATGTTTTAAAGTCATTTTAGTATTTTATAATCAACTTGGATTTGCAGTTTTGCCTATTTATTATTTTGGATAAAGAACACAGTTTAGTGTTAAACTTTTGTTTATTGTGAATGTAAATGAATGAAAATAATTTGTAGAATAGTCAACCAAAGCTTTATTTATATCGCTAGGAATAAGTGTTGATATCATATTTGTAACAAAATTTTTGAAAATTGGTAACTAAAACAACCCAACATAAACAGCATTCAAGAGAATATTAAGTTATTAAGTATTAACAGTCGATATGGTTTATCTTTTGCTCTGAATTTTAATCCTAATCATTATTTTGTATTTGTTTTAATAATGTTTCAGATATAAGAAACCGGTCACATATCCAAAAGTTTTCTGATATTTACTTTTTTCTTGCTATTTTGCGAAAAAGAAAAATGCTCCAATAACGTTGCAATATATTCACGTAACTACAAAAATGAAAATAAAATAGTTCAGTCAATATATCCTGCACGGTTTATTCCGGATCGTATCAAATTGCTTTGTTTGGGCTTATCGATTCCAAACTGGGTAGCCATACTCTCTTGTAGAAAAACTCATTAACTGTGTATATATTTTCAGACTGTTAGGACTACGTTCAGCCAGCTTTCTTACAATAGTTTTTTTAGTGTATATTTTTTCTCTTATATTATGACAGTTGTGTTTGTATGATAGACCTGTCCAACACGATTCCATATTTAAATTTGTCTGTACTTTGTAGTATTTGAATATGTCCTGGAAGCTTCGAGCTTTCCTTCGATATTATGTAAGTTCTACAACTCTACGACAATAGCCAAGACGCCAATGATGTATAAGGCGCCCTTGGTTAGTGGCTGAACATTTTGGGTATATATTGAACAGGACACAGGGTATATATTGATCAATCTCAAACTATAATATAGAAATATTTAAAACTCTTGAGTTATTTATATAATTACGATGTTTTCTAAACAAGCAGATATTTATAGACAACTGCAATCTTCCTTGAAGATAAATGCCGGAAAAACTAAATTCATGGCAATAAGAACAAACACTTGGCAATAAGAAAAAACACACTTTTAAGAATACAACTGCAAGTGGATAGTGCTCCAATCGATCAATGGGATCCTCAACAAGAAATAAAATGCCGTACCGAACAAGCAAGAGAAGCTTTTATCAAATTTAAACCGCTACTATGTAACCGCAATCTTTCCTTCAATCTCCGCTACAGGATGGTTAAATGCTATATTGTATGGTTCATATTGTTATTAGGCATGGAAACATGGATGTTAAGAGTACCTTCCATTAATAAGTTGGAGGCCTTCGAAATGTGGACGTTGCGAAGAATGTTCCGCATACCATGTACAGGTAGGTTGAGAAACAAGGAAGTCTTAAGAAAGGCAAATACTGGGAGAGAAGTACTCAATTTGATCAAGGTGCGAAAAATTTGATACCTCGGCCATATTGCGGAGAGGAAAAAAATACGCAATCCCTCATCTAATCATCCAGGGAAAGATTGAAAGCAAGAGAGGAGTAGGTCGCAAACAAATGTCGTGGCTACAGAACATAAAAAACTGGATAGGCATAAATAACACTGGCGATATTTTGCATGCCACAAAAGACAGACGTCTGGCATTAAGATAATTCGCCAACGCACTATAGGTGCACGGCACTATAAGAAGAAGAAGCAATCTTCCATAAAGGACGGTAAAATGTATTGGTTAAAAAGCGATGCCAAATTAAGAGCTGTTGTAACTTCTAAAAGGTACGACGATTTCAAAGATTATGTAGCTGTAGTCCATCTATCACCTTTAACAAGAAAGTAGATTACAGAAAAGAAGTCTGTCAGCTGGAATAAATCAATGAGATAGCTTTAAATGTAATAAAACATGTTTTATTAGATATATCAAATGATGGGGTATGTCTCGAACACGCAGTCGAACTCTTTGATGCATTCAATATATTATAAATAGGTTGTATGTTGAATGCGCGTTTTCAAAAATTTGTCTTATATTTTAATTAACTAGTAATTCTGCTGGTTACAAAGCTCTCTTGGTTTGGCGGTAGTTGAGGTAGGATGCAATATTTGAGATGCTGTGATATAATCTGCAGCCTCAAGTTACTGGTATGTGAAATTGATGGCTTAGCCACATCCACTATTACCCTCCATCTTATATGAACTTGTGCTTCCATTTACCATCGTTGTCCCCACGAAGATATTTCTGGTAAAGTTATTACTGACAATGAAGTTGTAAATAGTGAAGAAGGGTGTCATCAATCTGATATAGAGAATAAAACGACATAAATTAGTTAACAAGCTCCTACTTTTCAATTTCTATTGAAAATAGAATCTCCTTCAATCATTTCTATTGAAGTAAATAAGAGTTGGGAACTTATAGATCTTAATGAGACAATGGTACTGGAGTCCTAAGTAAGTTCAACTCTATTGGATAATATTGAAGAACCTGTAAATGTAATAGGTAATTCTTAGAATGTATCACTACATCAAGTGGAATAAAGCAGGAGCATCTCTGTTTAAGCTGGATACTGTAGAGAATAGAGAAATCAAATAGATAGAAAAGTTATTTACTTATTACAGAAAATGTAGAAAAGCTTAAGGAAGTTATAGCTCAAAAGATAAAATAAGTGAATATAAATGTGTCAATTAGCCAGGATTGTCTCTTTACTAGCTTAGATCTCAATTATGGCGAAAAAGAGTATAATGCTGTATTCTCGGTAGTTATTCTTGCATAGATCTCGTTTTTTACTTGGTTGTCATTTGTGATTACCGCTCCCAGATACTTAAAACTCATTTACCTCTTCGAAGTAGTGATCATTAAGAGTTTTATTCTGCCTAATTCTACTACTATGTATTTGTCTTTTCTTCATTTATTCGGAGACCCAGATAACTTGCTTCCTCTTTGAGTTGTAAAAACTTATCTCGCTCGTCTCTTGCAGAAAGAGTCACTGTACCTCTGTCATCACCACAGGCCAACACTAGTTTTAAACCTTAATTGGCAAAACCCTTGTCCGCTCCGACGATATTTTACTTATTGAATGTTCCAAAGCAAAATTTAACAGCAACTGTGATAAGGGGTCGTTGTCCGAGTCCTGATGTTATACTAAATTGCGTTGATGTTCTGTTTCCTATCTTTATAAGGAAATTGATTTTCTTTCTACAAACCCAGTGCTTGATTTATTTGATCTATTTTATTACAGTCTATATTTATTATTTTATTAAAACTAGTACGTGAATTAAGTCGATATGCATTAAGGTAATAAAAGTACTGTTTGTGGTGATTTAGCTTAGTTAACGATTTTACCAGTGGTTTGTATTTTGTATATAATCTTGAAATATATGCAGATAGTATTGAAAGAAAAAAAATAAATGGAAATATTTTTTACATTCTGAAGCTTCATAAAAAAGTATTTTATCTCGATATTTTTGCAGTAATATTTATTATTTTGGTCATTGATACAGTTAGAGTGAATATACGGATTGTCTATTTACTTGTTAAATAACGTTTAAAATATCTTGTTTTCTTCAAACTTGTGTAAGGACAAAACTCGTAGTTCATTTTTTTATATAATTCGATTTCAGCTTACATACGAAAGCGGTCCAATACATATTTAGCCTACCACAGAAAAACGAAAATTTTTGAAAACTGGCGATTTATTTCTCAACATATGTCTCCTTTTATCTCGATACACTTGTCCCAGCGATACTCCAACTTCTTTAACCCGTCAAATTTCTATCTGGCGAGTGCCCTTTTCAAGTTTAAAAATAAAATTAAGTCGCACGGAACCAAATCTGAAGAGTACGGTAGATGGAGCATTAGTACCTAATCCAATTCGACTAATTTGGTCGTAATAACGACGGAGGTCTGAACCGGTGCATTTTCATGCTGGAAGAGCACTGTTTTCTTCGTCAAATAGGCATCGAATAGTCGATGTCACATTGAGTCCCAGAAAACGATGGCCATCATCTTTTCGGTCAATAGGACAGACTTCGCCTTTTTCGGAGCAACTTCGCCGGGTGACGTCCACTGTGTCGACTTGGTCTTTGGTGTGTGCCAATAATACACACGCAGAACGATGCAGAAACGTCTTCAGATATGCCCACGTGGTCTTCTGAGATAACTACTGTCACAGCTATATCACGCACTTAAAATCGGTATTCTGCCAATACGATGTCATGCATTTTTGTCACGTTATCCTCCGTTGTAGCTGATTTCGGGGCAACTGGGCGTGGTTAATCAAAAGCCGACGTGCGACCACGTTGAAACTCGTTAAACCATTTTTGGACGGTTGTCGTCAAAAGAGTGCTCTTTGATTTCGCTGCGCGACTTCTCTTTCAAAAGCAAGAACCGAAACACCGGCATTGCTCTATTTCCATTTTTCTACGGACACGCCCTCCTCCATAGCCGTCAAAAACAAATATACTCCGATTGGCCTGAAATTTTGACAGTAGCCCTTAACGAGAATGCTCTAAGCCATAGTAAATTTCTCTTGCGATAGTGGCGTCATCCGGCGGTAAAGTCAAGTACTTATCACACTGCCGTCTTATTTGTGATCTACTATAAATGAGTTAAATAAATACTTAATGTGTGGATTTTTTTTTAGTTTGTTCC